TTACGATCGAAATCCAAATCTTGACAACCGAACATTCCCCGAACGTAGTATACAGGGGTTTGACCACCATCGTGACAGTAAGCAAGTTTCATGAGGTAAGTATATGTAAGCTTTTTCGTAGTTGTTGTCTTTGTCTTTTTTGTTAAAGATAGAGATTTTAATGAATAGTATGCAGGAAACTCCTGGAAAATATGGTATAAAAAGGTGTGAATTGTTTGTGGGCGATGAAGTGGAGGTAGTTTATAATGAAAGAGAAATTTATTATAGCATGTAAGAAGGTCTATAGTTCCAAGTGTTTTTGTTACTTGAGTGATTGTTTCATGAGAGAAGTGGTTTGGTACGTAGTAATCTTCACTGTTGTATTCTTCTTTTGATATTACTTCGTATGATGAGTATGATGAGTCAGAGAGTTGATCGTTGTTGGTGTTTAGTGTGGTATGTGGATCATAGGGGTTTAGAGATGTTGAAGATGATGCCACATAAGAATAGTCTTCTACGTCGGTCACCATATACCCAGCTTGCACAGTTTCGCAAGGGTTAGCAACAATTAGATTGGACATTAGAGAGTTGTTTAATTCTATCCCTTCTGGGTAAAATCAGGAATAATTTGAATAACTTAATTTTTATTTACAAATAGTTGTTTTCTTCTATTTATATAGAGCTTATTATCATTTTATACTTCCAATTTTATAAACATTTTAAATCCTTAAAGTTCATTTATTTTAAAATAATTATTTTGGCCTTTTTATCTTTCTTTGTTCTAAAGTTTATTACTTTATCAATTTTTTACAAATACATTTTATTTCCTATTTTTTCTAGACTGCTTTTTTCCAAACTGCTAAAAGTTGTTTTTGTAGATTTCTTTAAGTCTTTTCTTACTGAAGTGTTTAAAAGGCTTGATTTACATTATTTAGATCCAAGTTGTATAGATTTGTTGAATATAGATTTTATGGAGGTTTTGGAGATGATATGGATTTCACAAGATTTAGTTATATACTTTATGAAGAAAGCAAATGAAACTTATTTGACTACCAAGAACAAGCAGATAGTTAGTAATATTGAGTTTAATCAACAAGAACAAAGTTTCTATTATTTACATAAGTTTGTGTTGCTTATAGAATCTGAATTCTTAGATCCAAGGGATGATATTCAGATATAATGACAATAGTAATAACACGAAGTTCTATAGGAGAGATGAATGAAGCTGTATTTATCTTAAAAGATGAAATAGTATTTCATAGTCATGATGTAAATAATATATTTAAATATCAAAATAGACAATGTGTACAATGTAATAATTTTAATAATTCTCGATTTTGGTGTTCAAAGTGTGATCCTATTGTCACGGGTTTTGTGACATCAGAATTAGGGCTTAGATTTTTTATTTTTATTTATTAAATTGTATGTATTTTATTTTAATTGTTATTTATCTAATTATGAGAGAAAAATGGCAGATAACAATTGTGAACGGTTATCAACAATTGTGAGTAATGGTGAATCGGCTACAAACAATTGGGAGCGATAGTTAGCAATTGTGAGTAAATATGGCCAAGTGGATACAATTGTAAGCAAAGGTCTTAGTAGTGAAGACTGCGGAAGTAAGAAAGAATCAAAAAAGAAGGTGGAGACTATAAGAAAAAATGTTGTAGTCATAGGAAATTAAAAATGTATTTAAAGCCCAAGTTTTGCCCTTAATAAAATTTCTCTCAGACTTCGATGTCTTGGATAAAGTAGAAATCAGAATCAAATTCTCCTACTTATTGAAAAACTGTTTAATGAACGTTGTTATAGAACAACTTATCTTTATTTTTATTTTTATTTTATTTTATTATTGTTATTACCCTGCAGTTATCTCTAAACATTACCTAGTCCCTGGCCTATAATT